TTTTTGAGACGGAGTCTCGCTCTGTCGCCCAGGCTGGAGTGCAGTGGCATGATCATCTCGGCTCACCACAACCTCCACCTCCTAGGTTCAAGCGATTCTCTTGCCTCAGCCTCCTGAGTAGCTGGGATTACAGGCACGCACCACCATGCCCGGCTGATTTTTGTATTCTTAGTAGAGATGGGGTTTCACTATGTTGGCCATGCTAGTCTCGAACTCCTGACCTCGTGATCCACCCACCTCGGCCTCCCAAAGTGCTGGGATTACAGGTGTGAGCCACGGTGCCCAGACTTGATTTTTTTTTTTTTTTGATGAGCCGGTGTCTCACTCTGGCGCCCAGGCTGGAATGCAGTGGTGCGATCTTCTTCGCTCACTTCAGCCTCCGCCTCCCAGGTTCAAGCAATTCTCCTGCCTCAGCCTCACGGGTAAGCTGGGATTACAGGTGGGCGCCACCATGCCCAGCAAATTTTTGCATTTTTAGTAGAGATGGGGTTTTGCCATGTTGGCCAGGCTGGTCTCGAACTCCTGACCTCAGGTGTTCAGCCTGCCTCGGCCTCCCAAAGTGTTGGAATTACAGGTCTGAGCTACCATGCCCGGCCAACTGTTATGAGTCTTGCTTGTCCGTTCTTGTTGGTTTGGCGCTCCTTAGCCAAAGGTTCAAACTCATCCTCCCCATCCTGCAACGAAACTCTGGTTTCTGTATTCTCATCTTCTGTGAGTGCGGCTTTGATTGGTAGGGGGCGTAGCTGAGCTGTTGCCCCAGGCACCCTGAGAACACGTGGTGTTCAAGTGCTCTGAGAGTAGATTTAGGGGCCTTGGCAGGGTCAGGCGGCCAGAATGTTCCAGCATCCTCATTCCTTGCAGGGATGATTCTCTGAATGACTGTCGGATCATCTTCGTGGACGAAGTCTTCAAGATTGAGCGTCCGGGCGAAGGGAGCCCTATGGTTGACAACCCTATGAGACGTGAGTTCTGAGCCAGCCTTTCCCCATCTTCCGCGGTGGGCACGGGGCGGGGGCTCTTGTCCCGTCTCTGGCTTGGCCGGGCCCCGCCGGAGCTGACCCTGCTGCCCCGTGCCCAGGGAAGAGCGGGCCGTCCTGCAAGCACTGCAAGGACGACGTGAACAGACTGTGCCGGGTCTGCGCGTGCCACCTGTGCGGGGGCCGGCAGGACCCCGACAAGCAGCTCATGTGCGATGAGTGTGACATGGCCTTCCACATCTACTGCCTGAACCCGCCCCTCAGCAGTGTTCCCAGCGAGGATGAGTGGTGAGTGCAGCCCTGCCTGCCGCAGGGAGACCAGAGTGTGCCCTACAAATCCCCAGAGGGGCACTGAGGAGAGGCAGGAGAGGGGCGGGCACGGCGGCTCACACCTGCAATCCCAGTGCTTTGGGAGGCCAAGGCGGGAGGATCACTTGAGCTCAGGAGTTCAAGACCAGCCTGGGCAACGTAGAGACCCCATTTCTTTTTTTTTCTTTTTTTTCCAAGATGGAGTGTCGCTCTGTCGCCCAGGCTGGAGTGCAATGGCGCGATCTCGGCTCACTGCAAGCTCCGCCTCCCGGGTTTATGCCATTCTCCTCTCTCAGCCTCCCGAGTAGCTGGGACTACAAGCGCCCGCCACCATGCTGGGCTAATTTTTTTGTATTTTTTTTTTTTTAGTAGAGGCGAGGTTTCACCGTGTTAGCCAGGATGGTCTCGATCTCGTGACCTCGTGATCTCCCTACCTCGGCCTCCCAAAGTGCTGGGATTACAGACATGAGCCACTGCGCCCAGCCTTGAGACGGAGTCTTGCTCTGTCACCCAGACTGGAGTACAATGGCACTATCTAGGCTCACTGCAACCTCTGCCTCCCAGGTTCAAGCAATTCTCGTGCCTCGGCGTTCCGAGTAGCTGGGATTACAGGTGCCTGCCACCACACCCGGCTAATTTTTGTAGTTTTAGTAGAGACGGAGTTCCACCATCTTGTCCAGGCTGGTCTCGAACGCCTTCCCTCAAATGATCTGCCTGGCTCAGCCTCCCAAAGTGCTGGGATTACAGGTGTGAGCCACCATGCCCAGCCTGGAGACCCCATTTCTACAAAAAATTTAAGAAAACTAGCTGGGTGTGGTGGTGCTTGTCTGTGGTCCCAGCCACTTTGGGAGGCCGAGGTAGGAGGATCAGATCACTGGAGCCCAGCAGGTTGAGGGTGCAGTGAACTGTGATTGTGCCACTGTACTCCAGCCTGGGTGATGGGAGTGGGACCCTATTTCTTTAGAAAAATAAAAATGGGGTCAGGTGCAGTGGCTCACGCCTGTAATCCCAGCACTTTGGGAGGCTAGGGCGGGCAGATCACGAGGTCAGGAGATTGAGACCAGCCTGGCCAAGATGGTGAAACCCCGTCTCTATTAAAATACAAAAAAATTAGCCAAGCGTGGTGCCACACGCCTGTAATCCCAGCTACTCAGGAGGCTGAGGCAGGAGAATCGCTTGAACCCGGGAGGCGGAGGTTGCCATGAGCTGAGATCGTACCACTGTAGTCAAGCCTGGCGACAGAGACTCTGTCTCAAAAAAAATAAAATAAAATAAAAAAAAGGCGGGAGGAGTGGTGAGGAAATCTTCCCATGTTCCTTGAGTGGGCGAGACCTGTGGCAACCAGAGAACAGAGCCCAGGGGACTTCACAGCTTCTGTGACAGGAGGTTTCATAGCCACTGTGTTCCTGGTGCACATGATGACAACGGTGGATGTGGATGGGGAGGTTGTGACGCGCTGGGCTCGGGTCTGAGGACCTGCGTGTGTTTGTGGTCACTCCTCCAGTGCAGAAGTGGGTGCTGTCGTTGCCCTGCCCCCCATCGTGGAGATGGGGAAGCTGAGTCCACGGCAGGGAGAAGGCACCCGTGGAATCTGCCTGTGTATTTCCCACATCCCACATTGCGTTCACTCTCACTGTTGGAAGATCCGTGGAATTCTCCCTGGAAGGCCAACAGAGAACCTGATTGCTTGCTTCCTTCCCTTCCTTCCTTCCCTTCTCTCCCTTCCCTCCCTTCTCTCCCTTCCCTCCCTTCCCTCCCTTCCCTCCCTTTCCCTTTCCTTCCCTCCCCTTCCCTT